GGGATGTCATGCAATATTGATTAAGTGGGGAGCAAGGCATGTAGCAAATGTATATGGAAGAACTAGGATTTTCCTGGAAGGGATGGGTCGGGGACTTTTCCTGGAAGGGAGAGGTTAAGTTCTTGTCCCTTACCCAGGTGATTGATGGCTATTTAGAATATTGATCACTGCTGTTCATCCCTAGGGGAAGGATGTGGGTGTAGTCAGTTGTCTTGGTCCTGAAGCCTGGCCTGCAATGAATGCACCTCCAGCCACAGTTGTGGTGTGTTCTTGTCTTCTGCACTGACTTCTTTGAGGGCCCAGCCCTATGTGACTGCCTATAATATTTTTACTAACTTAGCTGTCTACAGTAGTAGCCTCTCCTGAATGAGAGGTCTGTAAGTCCATGTGGCATTTTGTAAGGCATTGGCACCCATTGTGCAGATTTCAGAGGGGGTTGTGGGTGATAACTGTGTCAGAGTAGCTCCTTGTCTTATGAGTGGTACAGTGGACCTTGAGATCCGAGATGTGTTAAGTAGAGTGTACATTAAGATTGTGGGGTTTCTCCATCCCTGCTTCTGAGATGTGGGTCATTGCCTGGCCCTCTAGCAGTCCTGCCCTGGCCATGGGTTCCACTGTCCACACTAGCCACTCACTCCCTCACAACTCCCACAGAATTGAAGATGGGTGCAGTTTCTGCACTAGATGAAAAAGAATTGAAGTAGCTAAAACATTGAGTGGATGGGACAAATGAACAACTTCAGTCACTTTTGTTTGATAATGACTTTCAGGCCAGGGATGTGAAAAGTCTGTGGAAAGAGCCCTGCTCTCTTGTCTTATCCTGCTCATTGGTATTTTGTTAAGTAAAAGTGTATGTGAGGGAGCAAGACTTTAGAGTCAGAAAGACTGAATTTTAATCTTCCCTCTATGACTTTGGGTAAATTATGTAACCTCATGGGACTCAGTTTCCTCATGGAATTAAACACTGTTCTCTCACGGGTTGTTGGTTGTCAGCTTACTTTGTTTTTGAGACAAGGTCTCACATTGAAGTTCAGGCTGGCCTTGAACATGTGATCTTCCTCCTTGCTGGGATTACAGATGTGTGTGCCATGATAGGCTTTCTGTTTGCTTTTATGAATTAATATGCTGTTACAGAAAGCAGTTGTTCAGTTTTATCTGTTAAAACACAGTAAGGCAGACTTTATTCAGGACCCCCGAGATAGGTATAGGGGCCACTGCCCTGGGATCTTGCAGTGAGCAGAGACATTGGCTTAACTTTGAATACAGCATGGGCAAGTGGGAATTTCTAGTCAGAGTGAGGGTGTGGGTGAAAAACTACTGGGAGGGACTTCAGAAATGAGGCAGATTCTAGCTGGACTGACCTAACAGGACTCATGATTCAGGGAGGTCTGGGGTGGTGGAGGCTGAGGAGGCTGATCAGGTATAAAGGATGGGGGATGGGAGGCTCTGGCTAAACTGACACAACAGGGTTCTTTTGCCAAAACTGGATTTTACAAAGAAGCACAGATGAGCCTAGGAAATGACTGTACTTAGAAGCCTTACAGACATTTGGTCAACCAAAGGCTCTTTCTTTGGCAGTGTCAATCTCCCTTACAGTGGCTATTGTGTAAGACTTGAATAAACATCATAGTTCCCCATCTTCATTAGTTACAAATGGTGTTGATCAGATTCTGAGAAGGAACACTAAAATTAATGAGCAAGTCAGAATTTTTGGGGTTATTTGGAATTTTAATACTTTAAAATGTTATTGCCTTTCATGGTTCCAATGAGAAATTAATATCTTTTCTTTCCCAGATCAGACTCTCCTTCCATATTAAACACTGCATTGTACCTGACTGTACAGGGAACAGTACTTAGGAAGGCACAAAAAGTGAAATTTGGATTTTCAGTTCTGGGGAATCTAAGTTGGCAGTGGTGAAGATGGTTTTGACCTACTCTGCCAGATTTTTATTTTACATAGTATAGTTGCTGCTAGATACCTTCCAAGTCTGGCCTCCATGTGCCCCCTGCTTTTTGTCTTTCTTGTTTTCAGGTCAGTAATTAGAATCATCTTCTTTCAAATCAGGCTGAGGTTAAAATCATCACCCACTACCTTGGGCAAGTTGCTCGGCTTCTGGAAGCGTGTTTCCTCATCTGTAAATGGAAGTGTTGCGTCTAAATGACGATATATTTGTACGATATATTAGCTCGGATTTGGATATGGAGAGGGTGCTGGTGGTGGCTGCAGTTAGCAGTTTTCTTGAGACACAGAACTCCAGGGTTTTGCTGGTGATTTTACCAAGCATTCTGTTTTTCCTTCTCGTCTTGCATTTTATTTTTTTTCCAGTTGGTTAAACAGCACTTTAAAAAATTCAATATTGATGATTTGCTGCCACCCACAGGCCAATATGGAAAAAGCAGAATATGTCATTACCAACTTTAGATGCTAAATATAAAAATGGGTTATCTTGGTGGTCTCGAAGCCAGCTGTAGACAAACCCATTGTCCCCCTTCCGGAGACATTTCTTTCTCTTGGTAGTCAAAGAATACTTGAATAGTACAGGTTAAGTATCACAATTCTTGGGGCCAAATATATTAGATATTTTGGGAGTTTTTTTTTAATTGGGTATATTTGCATATAGATTTTACTCATTGAGCATCCTTAATTTGAAAATATAAAATTCAAAATGCTTCAAATCTTTAATGTTTTTGAATTAGGAATGCTCAACCTGAATCAGAATTCCTTTATATTCTTTGTAGAATTGAGCAATATCTGTGCTGCACCATTGGCAATTAGATCCTGTATTTTTCCTTGTTTAAACTAGATTTGCAAAATAGTGTTTATTAAAAAGTGTGAAAAAGTCTTTGTTATCGAAAATATACTTTAGAACCTGGATGTTTTGGTCTTGTTTCTGTTTTGGGTCCTGTTGTAGTGGAGAACTTGGGAGTGGGGAGCAAAACATTAAATCATGTTTACAGATAGTGTTGTTACACTCCTGGCCATGTTGCATTACCTGAGAGTTACTTGTGTGCTGTCTCCTGTCCTCAGTCTCATCTGCCCTTCAGCACACATTGTCATGTAGGGTCTGTTTTACAGGCACACAGTGATTCTCTGAGATGGTTCTGACAGGAACCTTTCAGGTCCTTGTTCACCTTTGCTTCAGCTGGAGTTGCACTCAGAGTGGTCAGAGCCAGTGGGTCCAGTTAGGCCTGTGTGCTGAGCTAAGGGGCTGATCTTTGTTTTAAAAATGACCACTAAAATAATTTAAGCTGGAGTGATGTGGTCAGATTTTTATTGTGCAAATAATACTTGGGCATTCCATTCAAGAGATTTGAGAGGCAACTTACGGGAGCAGTTATTCATCGTGTTGTCTGTGGATTTGAGAACCGAATCATACTCTGTCATTCCAGTTTGTTTTTTGAATTCTTTGTTTGCTTTACTTTTTTTTTTTGGTACCGGGGATTGGACTCGGGACCTTGTGCTTTCGAGGCAGGTGGTGGCACCACTGAGCTAAATCCCTGGCCCTTGTTTGCATTACTTTTATGACTTTAACAGTTCTGCAGGCAGCATCCAAGTAGGTACTGTTTTGGTGCCGTCATGCTAGTGCTGGCTGTTACTGTTCACTGCCTTGCACATTTACTGTGCACCAGCCCTTGTGCACCCCTTGTGCTGAGGCCTTTGTAACACACGAGGCCCTAACTCCTGTCTGGATGTTTGCTGTGATGCTGGCACTTACTCACCAGTGTAGTGTGGCTGTCCTCCTCCTTCCTCTCTGCCTGCCTGTGTGTCCCTCATGTGCTGCCTGGCATCGTGGGTGGGATGCTGCACCAGCCCCTCCCGGCAGTGGTCATGGATGGTGTAGGGAAAAATTAATTGCAGCAGCTGTGGCAGGAGAAGGAGGAAGCCTCCTCTGATCTTCTGTGGAAAAAACAAAACAAAACTGTTGTCAGAGGTCTGAAGGTGACAGCAAAATCCCAAATCTGTGTTGTGGGAATGGATGGGTGACTGGAAGGCAGAGAGAGTAAGCACTTGCCTCAGACATACAGTTGAAGTAAATGAATAATGTTAACGCAGTTTTCTTTAAAAGTCTCAATACCAAAAAAAATTCATGACAAAATGTCAAAAGTTTAAAGACAAGATTGGTGATGGTGTGCTGTCCATGCAGAGCCATTTTGAGACCTGAGACAAAAGGAAAAACCAGCAATTACTGATCGTATCTATTTTAAAATGTGACATTTTGTTCATTGTGTATTACTTCAATTAACTTTGATTTTTAAAGTTGCATTAAAATATTATTGAATTTTTTGGTTCCCACTTCTATTTTGCACCCAAGATTTGGGGCCTCATTGGCTTCACTATAGTCTTGTGGGTGTGAGTTGGGCAGGAATTGGGGAGAGCTGAGAGTCCGCCACCTCATATGCTCCTGAGAACAGGACCTCTTCGGGGTGGCCTTGCTGTGGGGAAGGGAATATGGAAGGTTGCTATTGGCGTGTCTCTCACGTAAACACTAGGTTCTTTTAAAAGGAATCTGGATGAGATGATAGTTTTAATAAAACCTACCAGAAGGTGTTTCCTTCCTCTACTAACAAAAACTATGGAATACACTTTCTCTGTGTATTTAGTTTGTTCTGTGGTTGTTCCTTCACTGAGGTTGTTAAGTATTGGGTTGATCCTCACAGGCCCCTCTACCAACAGATCTATGCTGATCCATTCAGGCAGCCTTATAAAGGTGGAGGTGGATCTTGGCACGCTCCCGTTCTTGACTGCTCTTGTTCTGTTGTAACTATCTCACGGCTGAGGGTGTGAGCCGAAGCTGAAAAAACACTGCATCCCTACTTTGCAGTCTGAGGTGGTAGCCTTAACCTGCCTTTTGGCCATACCTGGGAGAGCCGGTCCTTTGAGGTGTAGGAAGAGATACAGTTAGCTTGGCTTTATTCTGGCTGGGACTGGGGAGCAACTAATGGAGAATTTTACTTTGCTTTGGTACTTCATAGACTTTTTTTTTTTTTTAATCCCTAAGGTTTGCTGAGGACAGACCCAGTACCCGAGGAAGGAGAAGATGCTGCAGCCACACTCAGCGCCACCGAGGCGCTCTCGGAAGAGGAGCAGGATGAGCTGAGAAGAGAGCTGGCAAAGGTGAGGACTCTTTGCTGTTGGAGCTTCATGATTCCAAAGCGTGGGAACCTCTGTGGTCAGTTCTGGGGAAGAAGGTGTTCACTGGTGGAGGTCTTGACTAGGGACAGGAGATAAAGCAGGGACAAAACATACGTGAAGTGGCTGAGAGGTACGGTGTGAGGTAGGGATGTCCATGGATGTTTCAAACACTTGTTCTTGATTCTGTCCGTGCCTGGGTCGTGGATGCAGGCATTTTCTAGACTGTGGTCTCCTCCCTCCCTCCCTCCCTTTTTTCTTTTCTCCCCACTCCCGCTTGTCTGCCTGCCTGACTTCCAGCTCCTTCTTTCCTAACTTCCATGTGTTAAATTCACATAACATAAAGTTAACCACATGAAAGCGTACAATTGACTGGCATTTAGCAGATTCTCTGTTGTGCAACTGTAACAGCTTTCAAGCTCTGAATACTTTCTTCGCCTCTGAGGGAGACCCTACTACTCATTAAATGGTCACTCACTGCTCAGTTCCCCAGCTCAGCCCCTGGCCACAGCCAAGGTGCAGGCACCATTCTTCCGTTCTTCACCCGCCTTCCCTCTCTCTTTCCTCCTTTTGTTCTGGGAATTGAACCCAAGGCGTTCACGCTGAGCTACATTTCCACTCTTTTTTTCCCCTATAGTTTTATTTTGAGACAGCCTTGCTAAATTGTTAAGTTGCCCAAACTGCTCTTGAACTTGCAATCTTTCTGCCTCAGCCTCCCAGAATGCTGGGATTGTAGGTGTGTGCCACCATAATATGATTCTCATCTCTATAAATTTTAGCTATTTTCTGGATATTTCATATTAGTGGAATTGCACAGTGTGTGACCTTTTGAATCGGACAATCTGACTTTTTTCACTTTTGTTTTCAAGATCTAGCCATGTTGTAGCATGTATCAGTAATTCATTCCTTTTCACGGCTAAGTAATATACACACATATCCCATATTTTTGTTTTGCTTATCCATTGATGAACATTTGGGTGATTTTCACCTTTTGACCGTTGTGGATAGTGAACTTGCAACATTTATGTGCAAATACTTGTTTGAACACCTGAACTTGGGGCAGATCATTTAGTTTATTCCATTCTGAAACGTACCCGTTCCTCTTTGGTTTCCTTTTTCTCCTTTTCTGCTTCATCAGTGTATGTCTTAAAATGGGACTTCTAAAAATTGGGTGTAATACTTAAGATCCTCTCTGACAGGCAGAGAAGATAAGAGTGTTTTGGGCCTTCCAACTAGTGGTGTCTAGAAGCTAGATTATTCTTTTTTCTACTTTTTGCAGTTGCATCACATTTGATTTGCCTTCTATTGTTGAGCTCTACATTTTTTCTGTGTTCTCTAAAAATTTACTTAGCAGTGAAAACAGTTGACTTAGCAGTACTGCCTGTTTAGTTTTAAAGGTAATGTCATCTTTGAGATCATAGAAATGTTATGTAGGTAAGGGCTGAGAATGTGGCTTTGCATTAAGCCAAGGGAAGCATTTCTGTAAGGGTCTTGAATATTAATGAATGTACTGCAGGGATTCAGTGTTTCAATGTCCTGACATTGAATATCTCTTCAGCATCATGGAGTCTGTTTCCCTCTGTGAGCTTGCCCTTTTCCATCTTCCTGCATTAGCTTTTCCTTCTACTGAGTTTTTCTCTCTTTTTCATAGCATCTGCTCAGTTTTTTTTTTTTTTTT